ATTTCCAAAATGCAAGTAGGTACATCTTATACATATTTACACCCTCTGCATTACCTATTTCTTTTCAATGGGTTTCTCTGTAATCAGTATTGCAATAGTACATTGGGTAACCCTCACCCGAGAGTTACCAAGGTTGTGGGTAAAACCAAGGTAGAGAAGGAACTCTCCAACCACTTGACGATTGTCCCCTAAGTCCCCTTTACCACAAGATTCTCCCCAAAAGTACTCTAATACCCCTTTCTAGTCAGTCTCCTCCCACTTCCAGGTAACCACTTCTGACTTGTGTCTCCTTAGATTAGTTTTCTTTAATTCTTGTGGACTCATGTAATATGTATTTTTTATTTGGCTTCTTTTACTCAACAAGATGTTTTGGAGATACATTCATGTTGTTTTATGTATCAGTAGTTCACTTGTTATTGATGACTGGTATTTCATTGTGTATAAATATATCCCAATTTTTAAATTTATTTTCCTGTTGATAGATATTCAGGTTGTTCCCAGTTTTCAGTAGCACAAATAAACTTGTCAAGAGCATTCTTGTACAATTCTTTGAAGATAAATGTTCTCACTTATATGAGATAAATTCCACCTCACAGTGGAATTTCTGGGCCATATGGTAAATGTATGTTTAACTTTATAAGAAACTGCTGAACAGCTCTCCAGAATAGTCCCACTATTTTTTAATGCTCCCAATAACAACGTGTTAGAATTCCAGTTGTTCTGTAGCCAAGCCAATTTTTGGTGGTGTCTGATTTCAGCATTTTAGTGGATACAAAATGTGATCTTGTTGTGCTTTTAATTTGCATTGCCACGATGATTAATGATGAGCTTTTTTTCATGTGCTTATCGGCTTCTGGTATCTTCTTTGGTTCATTGTTTATTCATATCTTTTGCCATTTTAATTGAGTTGTTCTTTTTATTTATTATTTATCTGTTAGTTTTTTGCTGATCTGTGAGATGAAGATATTTTCCTTTTATAAGCTTTATAGTTCTGGGTTTTACATTCAGGTGCCTGATTCAACTCAAATTAATTTTTGTGTATAAAACTACATAGGAATGGACCTGGGTGGATATCCAGTTTTTTAGCACCATTCGTTAAAAAGACTTTTCTTTTTCTATTGAATTGACTCAACACTTTGGTCAAAACCAATTGATGTAGTTACATATGTAGGTCTATTTCTGGATTCTATCCTATTCCCTTGATCTATTTGTCTATGCCTATACCCAATACTACATTTGTTTTAACTATTATAACTCTTTAAGTCTTGAAATGAGATAGTGTGAGCCCTCCAAATAAAGAAATATTTTGAAATATTATTAAATAATCTTTTAAGAAACTATTTTGCTATTCTAGACCTTTTTAAAAATATTTTTAAATCTTTTGATTTAAAAATTCTATTCTTGATCTTTTGCATATCCTCACATATTTTAGAATAATTTTGTTAGTTTCTTCAAAAAAGCCTAGAATTTTGATACCAATTGCACTGAATTTATAGGTCAACTGGGGAATTTGGAGCATCAGTTATATTGAGCCTTCCAATCTATGAATATGGTATATTTCTTCACTTATTTAGGTCTTCTCAAGTTTCTCTCAACAGGGTTGTATAGTTTTTAGTGAGGGTTTTGCCCATCATAGATTTATTCCTTGGCATTTAAAAAAATTTGTAATTTTTATTTTTCAATTATCATTTATATTCAATATTATTTTGTATTACTTTCAGGTATATTTTTGATACTATTGTAAAAACGTAATTTTTATTTTCAAGTATTTGTTTCTATAATATAGAAATAAAATTGATTTTTATATATCGAACTTGTATCTCATGACCTTGATAAATTAACATTGGTTCTGTTAGATTTGGGGTTTTAAAAAATATGTATTTCATGGGGTTTCCTACATGTACAATAATATTTTCTGTGAATAGCAGCAACCTCATTCTTTATGACTTTTTAAAATTTTTCTTGCTTTATTGCCCTAGCTAGGACTTCAGATACAAAATTGAATAGAATTGATGAAAGCAGACATCCTTTCTTATTTCCAGTATTAGTGGAAGAAGATTTAGTGTTTCATCAAGAAATCTAATGTAGGCTGTCGATTTCATAGATACTCTTTATCAGATCAAAGCTGCAACATTTTGAGAAATTTTATTATGTAGAAATGTCGTTTTGTTAAATGTTTTTTTTTCATCAGTGATAGAATCATGTGGTTTTTCTCCTTTGATCTCTTAGTGTGATGAAGAACATTGACTTGTTTTATGATATTAAACTATCCTTACTTTCCTCGAGTAAACCCTGTTGGTCATACTCTATTATCCTTTGTATATACTGTTGGATTCTATTTGCTCATATTCGATAAGAATTTCACGTCTCTGTTCATGACAGATATTGGCCTCTAATTTTATTTTCTTGTAATGTCTTTGTCAGGCTTAGTAGCAGGATTAGCCTTATAAAACAAGTTGAGAAGTATTCCCTTATCCTCTGTTTTCTGAAAGAATTTGTGTAAAATTGGTTTTATTTCTTCCACAAATGTTTGATAGTGTTCACATGTGAAGCCATCTGAGCCTAGAGTTCTCTCTGAAGTAAGGCTTTTTTAGGATGATTTCTTGAATATGACCTCTTTTAGTTTTGTTTCTTTTTCTATCAGTTTTGATAAGCCATGTTCCAGTAAGTTTTTCCCTTTCATCCAAGATGAAATGACATAAAGTTGTTCATAATATATTCTTCTTCTCCTAAATATGTCTGTAAGACTTATAGTAATGTCCCCTTTTTTATTCCTGAAAAATTATAATTTGTATTTTCTTGTTTCTCCTTGATCAATCTTACTAGGGGAATTATCAATTTTATTAACTTTTTTAAAAACAACATTTGACTGGTTTGATTGTATATTGTTTGTCCATTTATTAATTAATTAATCTCTACTTCTATTTTAATTATTTCTTTTCATCTGCTTACCTAGGATTTAACTTGATCGTTTTTTTTTCTTAAGGTTGAAGCTTAGAGCATTCATTATATTGATTATATCTTCTTTATTTTCTAATATAAGCATTTTAAGTTGTAAAATTTTTTCTGACCATTCCTTTAGCTGCATCCCATAAATCTTAATGTATTGTGTTTTCATTATCATCAGAGTATTTTCTAATTTCTTTTGTGATTTCATCTATGACCCATGGGTTTTTAGAAGTCTGTTCTTTAATTTACAGGTATACAGGCATCTGTTTTGGATATCTTTTTAATGGAACCAGTTATTTGGGTCTATGGTAAATGTCTTCCTGTATGAAAAGATAACAATGAATTTCTCTTCTTACCTTCTAAAAGTTCCTAAGTATGGGCTTTGAAATTTTCTTTCTTTTTTTTTTTTTGGTATCTTCTTTCATTCATTTCTGTTTTGAAACTTAAGATATATTCTATAACACATCTTATTATGGAACAAAACTTAATTTTATAGAAATTATCTCCACATACCCCTGTTACTGTTTACTTTCATTTTACATATAAAAATATGAGTGTCCCTTGAATGGGGCCTTTCTGTGTTCATTTTTAGGTGATCATCATTTTTTAAATGTAGCAGTTTATCTGATTTATTAAATGTCATGAATATCAGACTGGGAATTATAACCAAAAGTGGTTTCTCAAAGAAATATACCTTCTGTGGCCTGAGGTCATGGTTAATAAGTCATTCTTACATATTCAGGTGTTTGGATAGCAGTGCAGTCAGGACTGACCAAGGTAGAGGTGCTTTGTCCTTTCCACTTCTTCTGTAGCTCTGCCAAACAAACCAACCCGCAGGTGAGACACATAAGTGGCTGAATCAGTGAAAGTTTGATGAAATATTGTGATGAGATAAATTATAATCTGCCAGAACTTTCATTGTACGGTTCTTAAAATCTAAACATATATAAGAACATAAAGGCTTTCTGATGTAGCTCTCCAGAGATAATTATTTTCTTTTTAAAATTGGTAGGATCATTCTGGTATGGGTCAGATGGGTACCACTCTAGCTTCATACAAACAGGAGTGGTGGGGACAGTCTCTGCCTCTTATCTTCACCACGGAAGGGTCAGCCAACTTTCCACGGGTAACAAGTTAAAGTGGACAGCATGGTTACTAGAAAGCTAGGTTTTGAGCCATCGCATTAAACCCCATCTGCTATCGAATAATTAGGTTGGCACAGAAAACACAAGCAAGGGACATTAAGAAACCCTCTGCTGTAATCTAACATACTAGTATTGCCCACTGTGGAGCATGTAAAAAATATGTTGTATAAAAATCTCATGGTATTTTCTGCTGTTTTTCTTTGGTTGGAAATTTGAATGTTGCAGCTTAACTCACAAAATAAAATTAAAAAAAAATAAGATAAACATATATGATGCAGTATATTTAATTAAGACAGCTAAAACTTACCAGACTCTTTACAGTGGCTTGGAGGAGATTTGGGGTAGAACTTGATCACGATTAGTTAGGCCCAGGTGTGGCATCTGGAAGCAGCAGCTTGGCAGAGTGACAGTGTTCCTGCACATGGAGCAAACAGTGTTTATTAACACTCACTGTGACCGGGGGCTTGGCCCTTAATGAATTTTCAAACAGAGGTGGATTTGACTTATTTTATCATGTGGTCCAATTCTAGTCAAATGCTGTAGCTCTGAGACTAGGACAGGAAAATTCAGGGTTTCCCTGTGATGGCATTGCCCCAGGGGAGCTGGTCTTTCTAATCTTATGTTTGGAATTAAGCAGATGAGGTATTTGGGTCCCAGCCAGACTCTTGGGTGCACTGTAGATTGGACAAACTGAAGCGACTTGGTCTTGTCATCTGTACAACTATAAGGATGGCCCATGGCCAACTTGTTGCACGCTACTTCTTGAGGTCAGTAGGCTTATAGGATCAAGGTAAAAAGTTGAAGGAAGAGCATATATTCTTGCTCAGTTTTGGCTGTCAATATGGTAAGGCTCAGCCTTAATGTTCATAAGACTTTACTCACCCCATTTACTTTTTTTTCCCCCAGGCTACAACTGAAGTGGAAATTAAGAAGAAAGGTCCTGGATCTCTCTTAGTTTCCATGGACCAGCTGGCCTCCTATGGGCGGAAGGACAGGATAAACAGTATCCTGAGTGTTGTTACAAATACATTAGTAGAAGGTATGTGTCCTGTGGTCAGTCTGAACTGCTGAGATACAAGTATGTCGTGTGCATGATAAATATAATCCTTGGTCTGAGTTTTGTAAAAGTTGTCTCTAAGCTTTAGGAATAGTATACTGATTATAGAAACCAGCATCCCACATCTGCACACAGAGGATCCAAATTTCAAAGCCATTGCCAGCATTGTACACAGGTAGGAAATAAACATGAAGGGATGACATGAGTGTGAGCTAGAGCAGCTGAAGAAGCTTTTGTCATCGTCATCATGAGGAGCTCGTGAGATGACGTGCAGCATAAAGGAGTGTGGAGTGAAGAACTGTGAGGATATAGGATGATGGAATCCCTCTCACACCCTCTACCCCAAAACATACCTTCTTCTTTTCCTTTTTAGCTACTTGCAATGCTTTTGGGTTTCCCATAAGGACAAATGCACTGTGCATTTTGATTGCACCTAGTTCTGCCACTCTTTGAACACCCTCACATATTCATAAATATATTTGCTGTGTGACTGGGTAAGCTGAAACCCCTCTTCCTCCGGCACTCTGTGCCACCCGAAGAGCAGGCACTGTTGAATCACAGCACGGCTGCAGGAAAGCTGTTGTCAGTGCCTGAACTCAGGATCAGGAACTCAGGTTCTTCCTTGGGTTCAACATCTTTGGGACTCACTGAGTTTCCTTGACTTTCTGGAAGTCTATTTCCTTTGCCAGATTGGGCTAGTTCTTCTTCATTATTTTTTCAAATAAGTTTTCAATTTCTTGCTCTTCCTCTTCTCCTTCTGGCACCCCTGTGATTCAGATGTTGGAATATTTGAAGTTTGCCAGAGGTTCCTAAGCCTCTCCTTGTTTTTTTTTTTTTAATTCTCGTTTCTTCATTCTGTTCTGGTTAAATGTTTATTTCTTCTTTTTGCTCCAAGTCATTGATTTGTGTCCTTGTTTCCTTTCTGTCACTGTTGGTTCCCTGTACATTTTCCTTTATTTCACTTTTCATAACCTTCAGTTCTTCTATTTTGAGAACATACTCAACCATTTCTCTGAGCATCCTGATTACCAGCATTTTGAACCCTGCATCTGATAGGTTGGCTGTCTCTTCATTGTTTACTTGCATTTTTTCTGGAGCTTTGATCTGTTCTTTTATTTAGGCCATATTTTTTTGTCTTGACACATCTTTTATGTAGTAGGGGGCAGAACCTTTGGTATTAGCCAGGGCAGGGAAACTTAGGTTGCTATGTTGTAGTGCTATATGTGGGAGAGGGGCCCAAGAGGGAATAGTGCCTCTTGCTAGGCTCTCAGCTGGCTTTCACTCACTTTCCCCACTACCCAAAGCAACTTGGGCCCTTCTGGTGCAGACTCCCGGGTGGGAGGGTAGTTTTGTGTATGTTCTTGGACCCCGTGGGTCTTTCCAACGGACTCCTGTGAGGCTGGGAATTTCTCCCACTGCCTCAACACCCACAGGTGTTTTCAGTCAGAGATTTTAAGGCTTCGTTTCCCCACGCTGGAACCCTGGGTTGCACAGTCTGTCTCACTCCTCAGTTGTTCCTCCCAGTTTATCTTGCAAATGTGGGACTGCCCACTCGGCCAGCTGCTGCCTTGCCCGGTCTGCCAGTCACCATGTTGCCACAAGTCCTCTTTGCCCCAGCCGTACATCTCTACCCTCTCGTACAAGTCTGGGTGAATGTTTCTTCTTTAACTCCGTAGTTGTCAGACTTCCATACAGTTCAATTTTCTGGCAGTTCTGGTTATTTTTTGTTTTTAAATTTGTTGTTGTCCTTCTCTTCGTTGTGCAGGGAGGCAACATGCATCTACCTACACCTCCATCTTGGCTGGAAGTCCAGTAAATAAATAAATAAAATATTTAAAAAGAAAAGAAAACTAACATCCTCCAAAGCCGTATTTTATTATTGGCAAAGACATAAGAACCGGTGCAATGCAACAATTATTTTGTGATTACCTCAGTGACCTACCTATACAGGGTCTGGCAAGAGTCAATGCTCAGGAAATGTCCGTTGAACTGAATTTTGCTGTATGTGGAATGGTGGGGAGTGTTGGTGCCATGGGATTTCCTCTGGAGGCCTCACACTTTCATCATTCTACTGAGTTAGAGCTCAGTCATTGGAGAATTACTGTGTTTTTCTGGTCCCTTTCTTTCCTCTTTTCCCTGTCCTCTTCTTTCTCTTTCTGTCCTGCTGTCCTCATTCTCCACCCTCCACACACCAGCACACGTGTAAAAAATAGATGCAAGTGTAGCTCAGGGGAGAGAGCAAGTGAGAGACAACTGTCATTGTGTTCCTGAGAAGGAAGTCATTCCAGTTCTTTCCTTTTTCTAAGACCCGAAGTTCACATCACCTGTACCTTTCCTGCCTGTTCCTGCTTAGACATTCCTCCTATCCCCTCCCCTGGTATTTGACTCTCTTTGTTTAAACTGATGGGACCACTGCTGTAAGCAAAGAACAATGAATGGCTGGTGCTGAGTAATGTGAGAGGGAATTAAAGGACATTAAGAAAGATTTATTCCTATTTAACCACTGGTCCCTCTAGATTTAATGATCGCTACAGCATGAAAAGCCAGCACTGAATGAATAATTGTTACTGCTTCCCAGACCTTCAGTTAGGAAACTCCGACATTTTCATCCAAAGACTAAAATTACTATTATTTAAAACCAAAGAATCAGGCTCTTACCTACCACAGTGGAGAATTCCATAATGGAAAGTCCTGCCTGCTCTGCCTCACCCTATCCTGTTGCAAACATGCTCACCAGCATTAAAAAAACTCAGCAGAATTCAGTGAGCAGAACCATCAGCTTTGGGGATGTTTCAGAGGCCTGGAGGTGGGGTGTAGGCAGAGAGTAATGTAATTTCACTCTACCTCGAAGCGGTGAAGCCCTGGGAGAAGGGGAGAGTTGGTGAAGTAGCAGCGAGGGAGTAGTGATGGTTCTTGGCATTACTTATTCTTGGGGTAAATAGTTTTAAAAACTCCCCTATAGAGGTAATTGGCTATAGCTATTGCTGCCAGAAATTACTTACTTACTCTCTTATTCAACTGACAAGCATCAGGTATCAGTACAGTTACTTCTCTGGTATCTATCTGCCTTTCCAGTGCAGCTGTAGATTCTGTGAGGATGGAGACTCTTGTTTTGCAATGTTTTCCCAGTGTCTGGCAAATTGTAGGTGCTTAAAAAGTTGTTGAATTGAATTGAATTGAGAGAAGCCCCTGCCTTTGAAAACCTCGTGGTCTCTCACGTGACCATCTTGGTGGCATTGTGAAGCCCTCTCTGAAAACAATTCCCTGTACCCCAGAAGCTGAGACCTATAGCATCCCCTCTGGAAATGTCAAGCGCAAGTAAGGGAAACCCCGTAAACCTTTGAACATCTCACCCTCTCTGTGAGAGGCACATGGGGCCATTCCAGACACATGGGGCCAGTAGGTTTGCAGAGTTGTGAGTTACTTTATACACTTCCTTACTCCTAATTGATCTATTCTAGCTTTTAACACTCTTCATTGCCTTACATTTAGTGGAATGAAGAAAGCCCTGAGTATCTACCCTTCTCAGTACAGGTGGTTAAGAGATATCTAGTGTCCCTCTAGGAATCTTCCTGGTGCCCCAGAGGGTAAAGAAGCCCCTCCTTGCTTTCTGGCCAAGATGTAGAGCCTAGTTCATTATAAAACGTCACAATCATGTCAGCTGTCAGAAATGTGAATGTAAGTAGCTCCTTCAGCCTCCACGTGCATGCTGTGATGGTGAGCAGCAGACATTTGAAGCAGGAAGGAGATAAAAAAGGAACAGAACCAGATTTCCAAATATGTACTACAAGAATTTATGGAAATAAGAGAACCTTTTCATTTTCTTTTTTGGGGGGGAAACTAAATTTACCTTAGGAACGGAGGGAGTTCTATAAGGAAGAAGCCAAAGCAAATTTTCTTCACAGACTTCCTTTCCCACGCAGACTCCCACGTGGCGCTTACTGTGGCCCTCAAATCTGAAAAACCAAGGCAACTATTTTCTTAGCAACCAGGGAGCCAATCAGAAACCTAACCAAAGCACCCATCTAAAATAAAGCCATCACCATGGGCACCATCCAGCTGTTGGAAAAAGGGGAAGTAGACTAATTGAAGGATTCCATCTTGTTCTTGATGAAATGTTGAGAAACTCTTCTATTCTGTGAACAATTTGTTTTTGTAAGAAGAATTGGGGAGAGGGGGGGATGCCGTTACAGCCATCCCCTCAGAACCCAATATCTTGTCTATAAGGATTATCATGCTATCAGGTTTGCAAGGTTACACCTCTTAACATTCTCCTAAGTCAAGGTCCTTGGACTTTTATGATCCTAGCTATTAGATTTCATACTCAGTTGGTGGAGAGCTTTGTTACCTGGGGCCTCGTGCCTAGGTGGGTGTAGCTGCCGGCTGAATGGCTCTCTGCCTTTAGTGTCTAATCACCCTTTTTAATCTTTGCTTGGTAAATGATCTTAGAGATTATCTAGTCCAGTGATTATTGGTCTGTGTTTATCAGAGTCCCAGGATTCTGGGGAAGTACCTCAGGAAAGGCAGAAGTCAGTTGGACTGGCACTAAGCTCCTCTTGTCTCAACTAGAGCAATTCCTAATTCATCTATCTTGTTAGTGCTTACATAAAATCTTGTTAGGAAAAAAAAAACAGGTACAGCTTCTAAAAGAGACAGAAAGAGAGGGTAAGACAAAAGAAGGAGAGGAAGAAAGAAGAAAGATACTGAGGAAAGGAGAGGGGAAGAAGATAAAGAAAGATGAAAAGGTTGAAAGTGGGAAAGGGTAAGAGAAGGAGCCATGAAGAGAGGAGCCATGAGAAAGAGAAAAGAAGGGAGAAAAGGGGAAAGGAATGTGACTTACATTTCTAACTGGATTTTGAATTGGAAACTCATTGACTTTTTGGAAACAAAAGATGTATCCTGCATGGTGACTTGGTTGACAGTGCTGATTCTGCTGTAAAGATAATAACAATAGTAAATATTTCTGCAGCACTCAGTATATGCCAGGGTGTTCTGAGGCACTTTATTTTAGCTCATTTAATTCTCTTTAGAAATTGAAACCGCTTGTTCATGTTCCCACAGTTAGTAAGTGTCTCAGCTGGTATTTGCATCAAGGTATGTCTGGCTTCAAAGTCTGTGCCTTTGACTGCTACTTTGATAATAATCAAATGATATAATGTATAATATAATACTATTTATTGAGGGCTTACCTTGTGTCAGGACCTGTGAGCTCTGCTTTAGAAACATCAAATCATTTAATTCTAGTGAATGGATGAGGATTAAGGACTGATTTAGTTCTATATAACCTTAAAGTAAGTGCCATTTCAGATGAGGCCCTTGAGGCATAGAGGAGTCAGCACCTTGCCCAAGATCACACAACTTATGAGGGTTGAAGACAGTTGAACAGGGAATGAGACTCCAGAGGCTAAGCTCCCAACTACTATGCCATGCTCCCAAAATGAATGGATTGAATTCTATTTATAACGAGCTCATTATTGATGGGGGAGTGGTCTGGTACTGTTCATGCCTCCTGTCTCCCTTTGAGAGAAGGAATACCCATGGACACAGTAAGGAAAGTCCACACTTAAGCCATCTTTGTACTCACATTAATAGCAGTGATAATGCCCCAATGAAGTGTTGTACCATCTCCTTTGTTTTCTTACTGTGATTGAGGGACCACCTTTGTTCTTTCCTCCCTACAGAGCTGGAAGAGTCCCAGAGAAAGTGCCCTCCATGCTGGTATAAATTTGCCAATACTTTCCTCATCTGGGAGTGCCACCCCTACTGGATAAAAGTGAAAGAGATTGTGAACTTGATTGTTATGGACCCTTTTGTGGACTTGGCCATCACCATCTGCATTGTCCTGAATACACTGTTTATGGCCATGGAGCACCATCCTATGACGCCACAGTTTGAGCATGTCTTGTCTGTAGGAAATCTGGTAAGACAGAGCGCTGTTTCCTGATTTTGTGACCGGAACATGTTTTGCCTGTAGGACATGTTTTCCTGCTACTGAAAGCAGGAGTCAAGGTGAAGAGAAAGTACTAGTTAATTGGAAGACAAATGCTTCCACATATGCTGTGGGCTCAGCCGCTTCTGCTCACTGTTGTGATCCCTGGCTGTTTCCTCTTTCTGCAGAACTTAGAAGACGTCATTTAGGAGCTGTTGGCAGTAAACCAACCATGGTGACAGAATGGGAGGCATGGTGCAGTGGGCTGGTTTCGCAGCCTGAGCCAGGGACTTCTGGGTTTTTATTTTCATTCTGTTTCTCACATTGATTCCTGCGTTGGTCCAGCAAATCACGTCCCTCTTCACCTTCAGAAATAGCCACCACAAAATAGGGGAGCTCTTTAAGTGCATTAAATGTAACTGCAAATTGCCCTGTGCTGCCCTATTAAATATCCATATGGGCACTGTCTAGGGGAGGTTTTCGACTCCAGGTCAGTTTCCCTCCAGGCCACTCCCGGGCTGTCATCCACGTTCCCCCAGCAGTGGGCTCTGCCAAATTTATTGCAGTATTAGCTTAAGTCCTGTATTTCATTTATAGTATTAATTGGAAGATAAGTAGGCACTTTTAAAAAAATAAATTACACAATATATTCTGAGATCAAGTAGTTGTGATTTGGGGATTATCTGTTTTACTTCTTTAGTTCGAAAATCAGGAGTTGGTTGAATTCTGATAGGTTGGAAAGAATCCTCTTGGTCATCTGAGCCTCAGTGTTCCTGAGGAGTTCCACCAGGGACACGTGAAGTCTAGTTGTTCCCACTTGACCAGAGCATAATCTCTGCCTGGTGTTTGTTTTTTCCCCTCTCCCTCCCTCCTCTCCTGCCTTCCTCACCTCACCTCCCTTTCCCTCCCTTCCTCTCCTTCCCTTTCTTCACACCTCCCCCCCCCCCCCCGCCAAAACACACACACCCCGCAAGCCCTAAAACACTATTAAGTGTTATAATATCATTTTGAGTTCTGATTCTGGAAACACATGTGCCAAAAGGGATCCTTTGTCTGGCTAGTCCTTTACCTGTTGTGTTCCCTGGTACACATCCAGGAAGATTCTGTGGTCTTTCTAGTCTCCATGTCTCGGCTCACTTCGGTGATGTGAGCTCTCGTGCGCAGTCTGAGGAAATACCCACAGTGCTGAAATAGCTGTCCAGGAAATCTCACTGGCTCTGAAAGGTGCCAGAAGGTGGGCTTGCTGTGTGACTGGCTGGCCCAGGGCCTTAGCCATCAAGCAGCATTTTGAGCCAATGAACAATATCAATATCACATAGATGTAAGCTTTATTTTAGTTTAGCCATGGGTTAAGTAATAAGAAATATGACTTGATCGATTTTGTTGTTGGTAGTGGTGGTGGTATTTTCCCTATAGCATTTTTTTCTCAGTCTTTACTTTTACTTGTTTTTAATGAAATCGGTTCTCTATTTCCAAGAACCGATTGGAAAGGCCCTTTTACCTACCACCAGTGTAATTGCCCTGAGGCCAGGCCAGCAAATAACATTATATTTTCCTTTATTAAAAATCTACAGAGATTTAGGGTCACACCTGAATTAGAGTAGTGAGCATTCAAAAGACTTTGCTCAGAACCATTAACGAAGAAAGTAGAGAGTAGAGAAGGTTGGCAGCTAATATCCAGGGATTCCATGGGGCCAGCCAAGCCAAACCAAGTTCTAAAATAAGAAAGCATGGCTGGGGGAGGGGGAGGTTCAAGGGGAAAGTAAATGTACAGTTAGCAACAGGCGTGGAGAGTAGCACATGGTTCAGGTTACCCTGGCCTGGCCGATGGATCGCATGTGAGGGTGAAGAGCAAGAAGTGAAGAACTGTGCCTGTGGGAGTTAGAAGATACGCTTTTATGCCAGTTGAGTATTAAGTTGAGCAGAAAGAACACAGAATTAGTAGTCAGAAGATTTGGGTTTGGGTTCTTGTTTGATGTAGTTTAACCTTAAATAAGCCATTCATTCCTGTTCAGAAATGTTTTAGATCTATAAACTGAGACTAGCACCATGTCATCCTCCAGTAGCTGGGAGGGTAAAATGAGAAGCTATGCCAAAGTTTTCGGAATAGTGAAAAGTACTCTGTAAATCTTAAGAGCAGTACTAGTGTAACTCAGTGGGAGAATTTCCAAAGGCTTGGAGATGTAGGTAGAGCCTTTAACGGAAGCCTAAGAAAAAGCGAATGGAAAAAGGTGAGATGGACTAGCGTGTGAGTACAGCCTTTCTTATAGTTGGAATGAGAGGCTTTTCCGCACTCAGGACGGTGATCAAGCTGTGTTTGTAGATGTACAGATAGGTGTTTCTGAGGGAAGATGAGAAGTCTTTAAGACCGTTTGATCTAACCCACAGGTTTTATAAAAGAAGTCAAAGCCTGAGGAGGCTATGTGACTTATACAACTTTTGTATTGTTTAGTTGTGATTGTCTTGCTTTTTTACAACCAGTTGAACACAACAGTGGGTTTATAAGGTGGTTTTTTTTTAAACAATTGTACCAAGAAGTTTTGAGTATAGTGTAAAGAACTTGCTCTGAGAGTAAGTTGCTGACACAGCCTTATCACTCCGAATAGTTTAATTTAGTGTGTTTTTTATAAACAAGCACATTCTCCTTCATAACCTCAATGTAACTGCCACAGTCAGGAAGTTAACACGGACACATTACAGCCATCTGATTCTTGGGACCCCTCAAGTTTTGCCAATAATACCCGTAATGTCTTATAACAAAAGCATTCAGTTTGGGTTACATATTCCATTTAGTTCCTGACTCTTTCATCTTCTTCAGCCTGGGAGACTTCCTCAGTCTTCCTTTGACTTTCATGACCTTGACACTTTTGAAGACTACACAGTTATTTTTTAGAATTCCCCCCATTTGGGTTTGTCTGCTGCTTCCTCGTGAGACTCCAGCTACGCGTTTGGCAGGAAGACCACACCAGCGAGGCTGCTTCCTCCCTGCACCTACCAGGGGGCTCACAGTCTCCATGCGTCACGTTGCTGGTGCTGTCCGTTACTTGACTAAGGAGGTGTCTGTCAGGCTTCTCCCCTATAAAGTGACTCTTTTGCCATTTATAATTAGTAAGTATTGTGAGGGAGGTACTTTAAAACTATCTGAATTGCCTGTTCTTCATTAAACTTTTGATTCATTTCTTTATTTACTAATATCAGCATGTACTCATGGTTTTCAGTTTTATCCAGTGGTTTATATTCCATTACCGTCATTTACTTCGATGTTTAATAAACCATTCCAGCAGTGGCCAGTGGGAGCCCTTCAAGCTGGCTTCTGCATCCTTTCATCATGTCCTCAGCACCTTCCTTTGTTTCTGCTATCACAAGATACTCCAGGCTAATCTGGTTTTCCTGCCTCAGGCCTGGAATCTGCCTTTCTTAGGGATCCCTGCTTTAAGGGGTGTGATATTTAGAAGTGAGGGTCTGGAGGGTCAAGAGGCAGGCCTAGGCCCTCCCCCACAGGGCTAGCTGCCGGTGTCAGACTACCTGTACCAACTGAAAACCGGGAGTTCGGGCTGTCCCTTCCAATTCCAGTCCAGCACTACGGGACTCGTAGTTTTCTCCTTCCTGTGCTTGGACTCTTTGTCCAACAAATAGAAACCTGGTTGCCACTGTCTTTAATATGTTAACTGATAGGATGAAAAGCCACGGTTACCTTTAACAGCATGGGTGCCCTCCCCACACTGTCCGGGCTCTGACTCCCTGTGCCAGGCTGTCCAGCTCCCACACTGGTGTCCTCTGTGTGAACCCCTCCTTATCCCTCACAGGCCCTGATGCCTCAGGCCAGGCCAGGCCACCTCACACACACATCTTCCCCTTACCCGACTTGGACTCGAACGCTTCACAGTGGGCCTCCCCGCTCTTCACCCCACCCCAGGCTTCCCCTGAGCAGAAGCCCTTCATCCTGCCTAGACTCTGACACCCTGTGCCGGGTGGCTGTCCTGCACAGATGCCCTCTGCATCCCAGTCAGAGTCTGCCAGTTTGTCCTGGACTGACCCCCGAAGTGGATGCCCCCTTTGGCCTGCATTGGCCATGGCGGCCCACACCAGGCTGCTCCCCTGCACACATTCCCTGCTCGGGCTCCCGCACCAGGCACCGGGCTTCCCTGCATGTGGACGCCCATCGGGGGAGTTTGGGGCTGAATCATTTGAGGGTTTGGAGATACGGAAGGGAGAGCAAAGGCTTGATGTGCCATGTAAGTTTGATCTCTGAGATTCTCAGCAAAAAAAAGGAAAAATAGAAAGCTATTTTTCTACTTTACCAAATACATATAAATGTTATCATTTTGTAACTACAGCTTAACCATAGCTTAACCAGATTTTCAACCAAAAGGGATTCCTTTTGTATTTTAATTTTTCTTTCATCCATGTCCTCGTAGCCCCTTGTGCATACCTCTTTTTAAAGCCTCATCACATCGTGTTTCAGGTGTTGCTTCTCCTCCTTGTTGGGTAACCAACCATCCCAGTTTGCATGGCTCTGAGGGGGCTCCTGGGTTGTAGAACTTCTGTTTCAAGAGTGGGACTTCTTAGGGAAACCGGGACAAGTTGGTCTTCCTGACTGGACACCCAGGATGCAGGCAGGACTTTCAGTTTAGGAAAGTCTCAGGCAAACCGAGATGGATTGGTCACCCTGCCTCCTGGTGATTGAGTTATTAAGAAGCTATTTATTATTTTTCCTGCTCATGTGTTGTTTTTTTCATGTCTCCATTGTGGTACATGAGGCTGTCATCAAATTGAATGTCATTAACTTTGAGGGAAGTGCACTACAGAACAGGAGCTAATTAGCCCCCTTCTGAGAACAGATAAGAGTGTGCAAACCCTAGTCACTCCCAGGTGAGCCTAAAGTTTGTTCACAGGTGCAGTTATGGCAGAGGGAGTGTGCCACTTCTCCTGACCCTCCCCCAACCCCAGCGTGACCCTCAAATGCAATGCCCCAATCTGAGGGCATTGTAGGCCCTACTGGGTGACCCGGAGATACAGGTTCTCAGACCTGTGCCTGAGGGCTTATCCAAACTAGAAAAATATGCCAAATCCGAATTCAGAACATTCTATTAGAATAGCAGTTCTCAGTCTTTTGTTTGTGTTAGGACCTCTTTACACTCCTAAAAAGAGCTAAAAAGCTTTTGTTTATGAGAGTTATATCTATTGATATATATCATATTTTAAATTAAAACCACAAAAAATATTAAGTATGTCTTTAAAAATTACAATAATGTACCCATTACATAATTACATAAATAACATGAGGCAAAACTATATTTCCTAACTACAAAGAAAAACAGCATTGTTTGACATCTTTGCAAATCTCTTTTATGTCTGCTTTAATAGAAGAGAGTTCAGTTCTCTTATCTGCTTATGTGTCTAACCCATGTGATAGGCTGTTTGGGCTGCAGCACAGGGAGAAAACCTGGCCTCGCACAGATACGTAGTTGGGAAAAGGAGGGCCCTGGCTCTCTGACAGGGTCTTAGGGACCCAGGGGTCCTCAACTCGCTTTGAGCACTGCTGCATTAGAACGTAAATTCCTAGGTGAATATTTGCCGACATTCACAAGAGTGACATTTATATATAGTTGTTGCTACACTGGTTAAAATTCTTTTTTCCCCTCTTCAGGAAGCATGTCTCAGTGCAAATGAGTGAGATCATAGAGATAACCATGAATCTACTCTTCTCTGTTTATTTTTAAGTCATTTCATCCAACCAATAGTTATAGATCTATTTTCACCAAAACCCCAAATAATTGGAGCACACTATATGTTGAAACAACACGGTTGCTGACCTCTGTCAAAGGCAGTCCCGCCAGGCGTCTGGGGGACATTCATCCCATTGGAAAGCAGCACCACATAACTGTGCCATTGTTGGTTTTTACTTAGCAGCCAGGGCTCCCGCAGTAGGGCCTTTCAGTAGTCAATCAGCCAGTGCTTATTACTGAGCACTTCTCGTGTGCTCACCAGGAGCCAAAGGGACCACAAATTTAGCCTCTACTTAGTGTAGCCCACGAAGCAGGCTAACATTTCTATGTAGATAAGCCTTTGATGGGTTTACACAAAGGGTTAAAATGTATGTCACGAATTGATTAGCTGCCCCTACTTCCTCTGACCTCACTTAGTGGGATGTTTTTTCTGTGGATACTTAGCTTGCCCTATGAACTTTGGTTTTGCTTAATTGGATCTTCAGGGAATATTCTTTTGGTTTTAGAATACTGCATCTTCAATTTAGAAAAATAGGGAACCACAGAATAGTATTGGACACCAAAAAGTGGTAGCCTGCCTGTCCATTTGGATCTTTATCCTTCAAGTCTTTCTGTTTTGTTATTTCTATACAGCAATTCAGTATATTTCCAAACAGCATCTGTAATCTAAGTACTTTTCACTATTTTTATACAGGCAGTAAAAGTGAGACAGGAAGACCATGTAGCAATGTGAATAAAGTCATGATGAATACTGGGTATTCTATGACTTTAGAACTTTGTCAAAATATCTATGCAATTGGAAAAAAGCAGAAGGGGAATATATATAAATGATAGTTGTATGCGAGGTGGTAAGACTATAGATGGTTTTTTCTGCATTTTGTACACGTAGCAATGTTCTATTGCCTTACGATTTAAAATGAGAAATCCTGCAGCATATGTTTTAAGTTTGATAAGACACATAATATCAAATCAGAAATAATGCTGTATCTTTCTAATAAAACTATAGCACAACAAGTGATTTCTTTTTTAGGCAAACATCCCAAGCATACATACTCAAATGACTGCTGGCCCTTGAGAATTCCCATGGCTCAGAATGACTTTTCAATTACACTCTTAACAGTGTGAGTTGGGTGGTTGTGGCAACAAAGATGGGAACACTGGGGCTGAGCACGTCATTCAAGAGGAGAATAAGACTCTCCTGCCTCGGGTGGAGTGGTCAGGGCACATCCGGGGTTTGGTGTCCTCAGATGTGGGATTTAACGCGGGCTGGCCCTTGTGGCTTCTTGGACATGTTGTGTTCAGAGGTGATGATAAAGGCCTTCTCCTTCTATTATTTCTTTTTCTTAACCCCTGCATTCTCCTCTTCAGGTTTTCACTGGAATTTTCACAGCAGAAATGTTCCTGAAGCTCATAGCCATGGATCCCTACTATTATTTCCAAGAAGGTTGGAACATTTTTGACGGATTTATTGTCTCCCTCAGTTTAATGGAACTGAGTCTAGCAGATGTGGAGGGGCTTTCGGTGCTGCGATCTTTCCGATTGGTATTCCATATTTCTCCAATTTCTTCTCATATTTCCTGTCTTGCAACTACTAGAAAGAGTTTTGCATAAGTTAATTATGCAAATTACATTTTTAAAGTCCTTAGGTAATACTATATTCAATGCCAGGTGGCTGTTCAGTGACGTAGTTACTAAGATCTTAAAAGCTTTTCTGCTACACACCTAATATGTAAGTCAGTTTTTAATGACAATCACAGACATCAGTTTTAGGAAGTTTCTCCTAAAATAATGGTTAATCTAAAAGTTGAAGGGACTTTTCTGAGGTCTGATTTGAATTTGCTAGTGAACCTATTTCTTTATTCAAACATCTCCCTGAAATGGCAGAAATTCCTCCTTGTTCAAAAATGACTCTCCTCATTTCTTCTCTTTTGGCAAATCCTTGCAGAAAATGAAAATAAAATAATCTTTTAAAATATTATGTTCAAATTTGTTGTTGAACATTGGCCTCGTTTCCATATCATTAGCTAAGAAGGATTTTTTTAATTAATGTATTTGGAGAAGTTAATGTGTAGATTACTAAAATGACTCTGAAAGAATAGTGAACAGTATCTTCCAAATAGCTTCCCATGGGCATGAGCACAGGTGATGTGCTGCTTATGCCCCTTGGGAAGCCGAGTGGATGCCCCACTCAGACAGAGCGTCAGAACTGGCATAGGTTTTTCTCTTCCTGTTGGGAGAATACCTAAGCGCTTGCAATTGCAAGAATTTAAGGCTTTTTCATCAGGATATTCAGTATATTTAAGTAAGAGAATTGGAACAGAGTGAAAATATTTGTAAAAGAGAGATCTCATTCAGTCCAAGTCACAAATTCAACATCTGCCAGGTTTCTGGAACCTCTGCTGATTTGTTTTTGGTTAGGATCCAGCCCACAGTGGACTTTTTTTCATAGTAGACTTTTTAGGAACAGTTCTTATTATCCAGAAAGTGAGAGGAAAGATTAAGAGAAAGAAACCTTAGTGCTAATTTTCTTAATAAATTAAAAGCCAGTCAGAAAGGGGAAAAATATGAGTGACCCAGATATACGCACAGAGCAACAGCTGGTAAATCTTGAACTCTTAGATGAGACTAAAGTTTTCAGTAAGAAAAAAAAAATCAGTACTGTTGCTTCTACCAGAATTTCTGTTACCTGTTATCTGTTAGTTGTTAACTTAGGACGTCTGATGATAATCTCATCATCATCATTCCATTCACAGGGTCTCTGCATTCTCGGGCCTTAGCCAAGATCTTGTGATCTATTCATATGAATGACTATAGAATATATAAATATCGTGATTGACAGATACTCTGAGTTCCACCTGAATTAATATCAATGCAGGGTGGGGCAAAAGTGGATTTACGGTTGGAGTACATGAAACATGCTTTATTCTTGTATTATTTATTATTTATTAATTATTGTATTATTTTCCATATGAACTAGTATGAACCTAATTTTCCCCTACTCTGTATAGTCCCCTTTCAAGAAGATGTTTGACATGTAGAACTGCCCTGTCTTGGGAACTGTGTTTTCCTTCCAAGTTATTCCAAGCATATCACCAAGTTTCACGTTGTCCATTGCTTTAGAAGTTTTAGATGCTTTTTTAAGGAGACAGATGATTTATTGTCACTGTCCTTACCACATTGATCTTTTAGTTCACTACAAATCACATTTTCCTTGATATGTCTCTTGAGAAGTTGAGGAAAAAATAATAGGAAAAGGATATGTTCTTATATGGCTCTTTGAAAAAGTTGACTGACTCAGGAACTAATATGGGGACCAGAGGCCGTGTTCATGGTTCCTAGTCCTAAATCTGTCACTTACTGTGAAATTAATGTTTCCTTTATTTGTGCCTCAGTTTCTCCCATTTTAGTCTGAGACTGTTAGAAAGTCCTGAGGATTTCCCAAGCATGCTCAATATATTTAACCTGATCTTATTAATTTTATGTGTTTTTATTTTATCCACGTAGTAAGAAAATAAATGGAGTGTCATTTGGTGTTTGTTTGTTTTCTCTTAGCTCCGAGTCTTCAAATTGGCCAAGTCTTGGCCCACCCTGAACATGCTGATTAAGATTATTGGAAATTCAGTGGGTGCCCTGGGCAACCTGACCCTGGTGCTGGCCATTATTGTCTTCATCTTTGCTGTGGTGGGGATGCAGCTCTTTGGGAAGAGCTACAAAGAGTGTGTCTGCAAGATCAACCAGGACTGTGACCTCCCTCGCTGGCACATGAATGATTTTTTTCATTCCTTCCTCATTGTCTTTCGAGTGTTGTGCGGGGAGTGGATCGAGACCATGTGGGACTGCATGGAGGTGGCAGGCCAAGCCATGTGCCTCATTGTCTTCATGATGGTCATGGTCATTGGCAACTTGGTGGTTAGTACTAACTTGGAGATCTTTTTGTTCTTTGAACTGGGCCTTTGACCCTTGGCCTAGAGGCCCAGTTTGCTTGGTCCTTCTATTATCTTCCATGTCTGTGTTACACAGACATAGTGTTTCTAAGATCTGCCCCTTCCTTTCCATTTCTATAACCCATCCAATATTTCTAGAAGACAAGCGGCATCACAATCACCCAAGTTTCACTCATTTAAAAAGGCCAAGTCCCAGGTCCTACACCAGATCTACTGACTCAGAATCTCTCAGGTGAGGCTAAGGAACTATCTATTTCTAACAAGCATCCCACTCCGGAAGATTCTTGTGTATTCTAAGGTTTGAGATTACAGTAGCCTAATCCAGACCCTTATCAATTCATGCAAATAACAGTCTCCAAACTCCTAGTTTCTAAGGAATGGCTTTCTCAAATCTCCATAATCATCTGTGACTCCTTTACTCAGAAACCAATAGTGGATCCAGTTAAAATTCAGATCCCGTAGCCTGGCCTACAGAACTCTACAGTTCACCCCATTTTACCAACATACTCTTTTCTAATTCTTCAAATGGCCCAGATAATCCAAAAAACAGAGTTTGTTGTTTCCATCTCTCCCACTTTGTGCATACTATTATCTCCACTTAATATAAATGCCTTACTCTTTCTCAGAAGTTTAACATAGTAAGAGCCAAGTGTAAATCAAAAACTGAACACCTTTCCCAATTTTCAAAAAGTCTTAATAAAAGTAAATTAATATTAATGCCCAATGTGATAAAATAGGAAACAAAATATGAAAGAAAGCTTGTATCTGATGGCTTAACACTTAGATGTACGACAAAACATGAAAGTAACTAAAGTCTGTTTTATTTTGATAAATGTTAGGAAAACAAAGAAAATTAAATTTTAAAGTAAGATGGCATCAAATACAAGGTCTGTCCAGAAAGTATCTAGCCATACACTATGAAAAAGATGTTTATTGAAGATACAAGGAACATCATACATAGGACAATGACACCTAAATCACCCTCAAAGTAGGCACCTTGGGACCTCACACAGTTCTCCCAGCATTCTCTTCCACTGTTCAAAACACTCTGCAAAATCCTTTGTTGAAATCACTATCAGCTGCCCCATCATATTTTCTTGAATCTCATCAACGATCTGAAATCTCTTCCCTTCCAAAGGTGATTTTAGTTTTGGGAAAAGCCAGAAGTCACAGGGCACCAAATCTGGGCTGTAGGGGAACTGAGTCACCTGGGTGATTTGATGTTTCACCAAATATCTCTGCACAAGGCATGACACGTGAGTGGGCACTTGTCACAATGAAGCTGCCAATCACCAGTTGCTCATAGCTGCAGCTGTTTTTGTCATATTGCATCTCTCAACTGATGAAGAACATTGAGGTAGTACTCCTTATTAATTGGCCTGGAGGGACATACTCGTGATGGATAACACCTTCCCAATCAAAAAACACAGTTAATTAGCATGGTCTTGATCTTGCTGTAACTTGGCCATGACTTCTTCGGGTGTGGAGAACCAGGCAACTTCCATTGGGATGACTGGGCCTTCATTTCCAGATCATAGCTGTAGACCCACGATTCATCTTTGATTATGACCTTCTTGAGGAGATCTGGTTCATTGGTAGCAGTTTGAATTAAGTCATTAGCAAACGCAGCAAGATGTTCCTTCTGCTCTGGCAGCAGAAGCTGTGGAATGAATTTTGCCATGACACATTTTATGTCAGGATCCTGCATCAACAACTCAGACACAGTAGTTTTTGGAATCCAGATCAGCTATTTCTTGTACTGTCAGTCGCTGATCTTTGTTGATTGTAGTCTCTGCAGGTTCAACATTCTCAGGTGTTCTGCTTGTTGCAAGCCTTCCAGAATGTAGGTCACTTTCAACAGATTCTCGACCATCTTTGAAGCATTCATGCCACACCTATTTGCACTACAGTCATTGCATCATCCCTGAAAGTCTTCCGAGTCATGCCAATAGTTTCCACAGAGGAATGTTCAAGCTTAACACTTAATGTGATGCAGATTTGTTGCTCTACTCTCTCAGTCATTTTGAATGCAACAGCCACACAGTGTACACATTCACTCAATGGCGTCTACTGCCTCCACTGACTAGTACAGTGAAATTGTTATTGTTCACACGTGCGCATCCAGTCCACTCTCCTTGGCTGTCAGGTTACATTGATATCACGCAAACTGGTCTCATTATATTAATGATAGCTAGACTTTTTCGGGACAGACCTTGTATATTTCAGTTCTACATTCTTGTTGTATGAAAGTATGGTTCTCCAAGCCTAGTTTTTTTCTAACATGGGCACTCTAAGCCATCTACTGCTCGTGAGCTCATGTCATCTATGCATTCCTTAATGTTCCCCAATAATCCATATCCACCTTTGTGGTTTTATTTGGGGGGATTTTTTTTCAAAATGGATACAGCCTTTGCTTTTTCTGATTACAGATGTGGTAACATATTTTGGAATATATGTATATGTAAAGCTATAAAAGAACCAAGGAAAGAGGTGCTAAACGCCTTATATTAAAACCAAAAATCAAACAAAATGCTCACCTAGTAACATGAGCATTTAAAACAGTATGTGGGCCAAACAAAACACAATAGAAATTTTTGAGTTTGTCACTCAAGTCTGTAGGCTTCCGGTTTCCTAGTTTAATGGGTAACTTACCTAGTACCATTCTACGTTCACTCTCCTCCTTTCTAACACTACTGTTAAGGTGCTGAACCTGTTTCTGGCCTTGCTCCTGAGCTCCTTCAGTGCAGACAATCTGGCAGCCACAGACGACGATGGGGAAATGAACAACCTGCAGATCTCAGTGATCCGTATCAAGAAGGGTGTGGCTTGGACCAAAGTGAAAGTGCGTGCCTTCATGCAGGCCCACTTCAAGCAGCGTGAGGCTGATGAGGTGAAACCACTGGATGAGCTATACGAAAAGAAGGCCAACTGCATTGCCAACCACACTGGTGCAGACATCCACCGGAACGGCGACTTCCAGAAGAATGGCAATGGCACCACCAGTGGCATTGGCAGCAGTGTGGAGAAGTACATCATTGATGAGGACCACATGTCCTTTATCAACAACCCCAACTTAACCGTGCGGGTGCCCATTGCTGTAGGAGAGTCCGATTTTGAGAACGTCAACACAGAGGACGTTAGCAGTGAATCAGATCCTGAAGGCAGCAAAGATGTAAGGTTCCAGCCTAGAAACCAACCTCGATCCAGTGTGAGAACAAAAAGAGCTCTGTCAGCTTCAGAGATTGGTTCAGCTATGGGCTTAGCAGAGAGATTCTGGAATAGCCAACTTATCCCTTGTATTTATTATAGGCCTTTCCTAGATGACCTAGATGCTCCTGGATCTATCTCCATGGCTTCTAGATCATCTAGGTCAGAGTAAACCCTCAGGTACTTTCTGCCATTAATCTGTCTGAGCTGTATCCCTGAGATCAGCCTATAGGCACATTCGTTTAGGGTCTCTGCCATCTGTGAGTGGGCCTCAATGTTACATCCCACTGAAGCCCTGTGGCAATTGTGTGCCCATATGAATTTCCAGTAAGAATTGTAGAGAAGAATTACAGCTAGTGCTTCATCCATACCAGAGGTGGAGTAGTCAGTGTAAAATGGACACACTATGCAGAGTCTCTTGACCTCTCTTTTCTTTGCATATCTAGAAACTGGATGATACTAGCTCCTCTGAAGGAAGCACCATCGATATCAAACCAGAAGTAGAAGAAGTCCCTGTGGAACAGCCTGAGGAATACTTGGATCCAGACGCTTGCTTCACAGAAGGTGAGGGGAGGACGAGGGCCACTTGTACTGCTTACAGACTGTGTCAGCTAGGGACAGAGGTTGGACGAGATGACGGGGCTCAGGGCTGTCTTCAGGAACTTTGCTCCCCACCTCATCATTTTGAGGGCATTTGATGCTCTTTCCCCTGTTCAAACTGTTCTCTAACTTCTCTTTGTCAACTTTCTCTTGGCATCAGTCCAGAAACTTCCATTAGGAAGGCCTTTTGTGTCATGGCTCTGTCTGGCTTCTGACTACCCTTTTCTCCTCCCTCACTGCTTCTTTACAGCACATTCTCCCAAGCCCAGACGGCTCTGGTAGCCTTGCAGCATAGCCTTGGCCCTGCAACCCTCTCAATGTCTGAATCAGACGTTCCGGTTCACCTACTGTGCTCCGGGCTGTGTGTGCTGGGGCAGCACCTGGTGGGGCCTGGGAGATGGAGGAGAGGGCAGGGCTGGGTGGGGCGTGCACCCACGGTCTGACCTGCCTCTCCCGCTGGTGCCAGGTTGTGTCCAGCGATTCAAGTGCTGCCAGGTCAACATTGAAGAAGGGCTAGGCAAGTCTTGGTGGATCCTGCGGAAAACCTGCTTCCTCATTGTGGAGCACAATTGGTTTGAGACCTTCATCATCTTCATGATTCTGCTCAGCAGTGGCGCCCTGGTGAGGTCCAGGGGAGAATATGATGAGGGATTGGCTGGGGAAGGGTTTATAGGAACTAGTGGGAAAGACTGCATGGGGCCTAAGACCAATTTCTCTGAGAACATAGAATGGCTGTGGACCCAAAGATAATGGTCTACGGACGTGCTTTGGGCTGGTGTTTTGAGCCATTGAGATTAGAATCCACACTTATCCACATGCCGATCTTTAGACTCAGCATGTTACTCTCAACCCTAAGACCTCCTTTTCTTCAGAATGAGAATACAAATTACCGAGTGTTTTCACTGCTTGGTTTGCACCAATCTAAGTAACTTTCTGAAAGGAGCTTCCCTATCCCACCTAAGACCCCAAATCTCTTGCTCTTTACTTCTCAGTTGCCCAAGGTATAGAGGAGGTTGTGTTCCTCCACCCCCTGTCTCCTCACACCACTGGATTTGAAGAACCTGTGGCATCAACAGATAGTTAGAGAGTTAGATCCCTGGTACATGGGTCACTTACATTCTTGTGGTTGTAAGTGCTCATTAATCAGTGCCACTTTCAGGGTGTTGAATACACAGGTTCCTCCCTTGCTGGAACTCATTACGTTGGCACTTGCCTTCACTTCTAGCTGGATTGGACTGAGGAGACCCGGACAGGGTCCGGGATGAGGGAGCTCCTTTCCTAGTTGAGGAGATTTGAGGGCAGCAGGGACTAGAGATGCCACACAGTTTTCTTCTTTTAATTAAGGGAAAGATGAATGCAGAATTTTTAAATGTTTTTAAAGAGTGTGGGCACATTCATGTAGGTGTGGAATCAAAGCTTAGTCTGAAAGCAAAAAAGATAACAAGAGAAACCCCAAATTCAGTGTTAAACTGACTTGAGAAGTTTGCTGGCATGTGAGGTAGGAGACTAAGAGAAGGTGAAGCAGGCAGTAACATGCGGTAAAGGAGAGCCCAAGGGTGCCGAGGACCAGGTTTGTGTCAGAAAGTGCCAGCACAAAAGCAGGAGGCCAGAAAAGATGGCTTGGTGTCCTTGGTCTGAGTGAAGGGGAGCCACTGCCCTGCCTGCCCGAGTCATTTCCTGCATCAGCAGGCGCTCACTCAGTGCGTCCTGGGGCCCCGGGGGGCAGCAGGAAGCAGACAGCCTGGACTCTGCCCCGGGGAAGGCAGGGTCAGACTAGGGCCTGCGGTTGGAGAAAGGCGTTGTGGTATTCTTGTCATCCTTCTTCAAATCTAGTAAAACAGAAACCAAAAAGAACAGGGAACATGCCCCATCCTTTGATTCTTCTCTTTCCCATCTCCACAGAAAAATTAGTAGTGAAATAAATGTTTTAAACTTTGTTTACTACTCACCTTTGACATTTTTTATTTATCTTAATTGCATAAAATGGGATACTTGGCTCAGTACATGAGACCCAGTGAAATGGTAGGCATGAGACTTAGGAATAGCAAAATGAAGCCACAGCTAAAATGTCCAAGAAAAGACTAGAGCATGGTTGTGATGAGGCCTCAGAGAGAGGGGATTTGAGCCTCCAGCGACATGAAGCTTGGTCTCACATATGCTGGGTTGTACAGTGGATTTCTACAAATGGAGCCAAGGGGAAACAACATGGGAGCTGTTGCTGTTTTTCCTGGGGATTTATTTGTACCAAGACCCTGAGGCCTGTGAACCTGTGTCCTCTGTGACCACTGCCAGGGACGGCACTGGAGCAGCTGATGTTCGTGCACCTCCTCTCCGGAAGATGAGTCCGCAGGCAGCCCAGTTCTGTCCTTCGGGAGCTGTTCAGAGCCCGTACCTCCCATTGCGTGACAAGGGATTTTTCCCCCCACACTGTAGGCATCCTCTCCTCTTAGCACCACACTCATACAGTCCACCAGTCCACACGTGGAAATGCTCACGCTTTCGTGTCAGGGAATTACCTCATTCAGGAATTCCAGAGAACAAAAGTAATGAATGCTAAGACTTCTTCACCCGAGTGTCTTCCTGCCCTGTGACCCTCCACCTGTGTCTGTGATGTCAGGGGCTGAGAGGAGAAAAGATTTCATCATATAAACACAGGGTATTGTCAGGGATGTGAAGAAACTGGAACCCTCACATGATGCTGATGGGAATATTAAAAAATGGCGTGACCACTTTGGAATACAGTTTGGCAGTTCCTCAAAATATTAAACATAGAGTTACCACCTCTGATCTAGCGATTGATCTAGCGATCCCACTTCTAGGTTTATATCCTGGGAAAATGAAACATGTCCACGTTGTACACAGATGTTCAGAGCAGCATTTTTCACAATAGCCAAAAATGAGAAATAGCACAGACGTCCATCAGCTGATGAAAGATAAACAGAATGTGCCCTGGCTGGCATAGCTCAGTGGATTGAGCGCAGGCCTGCGAACCAGACAATCGCTGTTCAATTCCCAGTCAGGGCACATGCCAGGGTTGCAGGCAGGTTCCCTGCAGGCCAGTTCCCAGCAGGGGACGCACGAAAGGCAACCATACATTGATGTTTCTCTCCCTCTCTCCTTCCCTTCCCCTCTAAAGATAAATAAATTAGATCTTAAAAAAAAAAAAAGATAAACAGAATGTGTATAGCCGTACATTGGAATGCTGTTCATCAGTAAAAGGAAATGAAATACATGGGTGCTGCAGTGTGGATCTTTGCACACATTATACTAAATTAAAGAAGCCAGTCACAAAGGCCCACAAATTATGAGATTTAATTTCTATCAAATGTGCAGAAGAGGCAAATCTGTAGAGGTAGAAAGTAGTGATTGCCTGGGACCAGGAGGAGATAACTAGAGGGCAGTAGCTAGCGGGTGTGGGCTTTCTTATTGGAGTAAGGAAGATATTTTAAAAATTGATTTGGTGATGAATGCACAACTATGAGTATGCTAAAAGCTATTGAATTATACACTTTAAATAGCCGAATTGTGTGGTAGATCTCAATAAGACTGTGAGGGTTTTTTTGTTTAAGCCACATACAGCTGGGAAGTAAAGTGAGAGAGACAGGAAGCTGATGATAGACCTGCCCCAGGTGGGAGGATCTGCCGGGAGGGCAGTACTTCCAGTGTTGCTCGTTTACCTTTCGGCACTCTAAGCAGCTGCTGCCTCTCTTTCAGGCCTTCGAGGACATCTACATTGAGCAGAGGAAGACCATTCGTACCATCCTGGAGTACGCTGACAAAGTCTTCACCTACATCTTCATCCTGGAGATGTTGCTCAAGTGGACAGCCTATGGCTTCGTCAAGTTCTTCACCAATGCCTGGTGCTGGCTGGACTTCCTCATTGTGGCTGTACGTGTCCTGTTTTCTACTTCCCACCCTTCCTAGCAGGAAAACAAAAACAGGGTTTTTTCTTCCTCTAACGGCTGGGGTTGCCTGGGGCCCAGGGCATAAGATGTAGATAGACTCAGGTCTGCGTAAAGTTGCCCTCAGAGCAGACAGATCTTTGGGAAGGGGACTCTAAAGTCCCTGCTTTTGCTCCAGGGACTGACCAGCCAGCTGTGGTGGAATGCCTTGGAAGTTTCAGAGATTAGGGATGGGAAGTGAAATCACTGGCATCAGATACCCTTGTTCTTAGGCTGGGAACAGGAAGGCCCTCGTCCCTGAACAGCAGGGTGTCCTCTTTCTGCTGCCAGGAGGGGGTTGAGAGATGGGATGGGTGCTGCTGGGATGCAGGTTGAGGGGGACCTGGGTCGACTCTCCTGCTGGCTGTTCCCATGGACGCTTCCATCCAACCCAGGTCTTCATACCAGACTAATCCGAACCTGTCTCTTAGGGAGAGGGGGAGCTCACACCGAAATAAAGCCCCTTCTTCCCACACATGCCGTTTCCACAGTGACAATCAAATGTAAGAAAGTTCTTTTTCCCTCCAGGTTCCAGGACCATCTCCAAGGCCACCCCATGTTATTTTTCAGGATGGCAGCTGCATCATCTGTGGCTGCCACAGCACAGATGTGGCAGCCAGATGCACCTGTTCCCTGTTCATTGTCCTAACCATGATGATTGTTTCTTATTCTGTGTATAACTAAAGCTCTTTCTTTCCCAGCCAAATCAGCATTTGGGAGAAAGGGTGAATGGGACTTGCAGGACCAGGGACTGTGGAGAATTCAGTTCCTGCTGACAGCTGAGAAGTGCTAAGAAAGTAGCACGTCTGGAGGCTGGGTTGGTACTTTCAGAATCTAGGTTTTGTTGACTGAGTGGCAAACTGCCTGTAAAATGCTTCCAGGTTCTAGACCAGAGCAGCACGGAGACCTCTTCCTTGGATAAGAGGAGCCCGGCTCCCTGCAGCAGCAATGAGCTCTGCTCCAAATGCATTCCTTTCCCTACCTCGTGTCTGCACCCTCCATGTCTACACTCCTTCCAAGGGCTGTCACTGTGCTCCCATTTGCATTCCCCATTTCAGAAAGCCAGCTTTGAGGATATACCTAACTAGGTGAGGAGATCACCCTTTGCTTTAAAGTGAACCAAATGGGTGGTGCCAGCCTGAGACCCTACTAGCAGGAAGTTTCAGCACTCTCTGTGGCAACTGCTGCTAGCCCCTTGTGATAGAAGGGCCTCTGCCTCCCACAGATGAAAACTTGAGCTCTAAGAATTAAGGAATGAGCTGGGGATAAGGCCAAGAGAACTAGAGTAACTGGGCCAGCTCTCTTTCTAAAGCAGGGGGAAGGGCCATAGAGTCTTCACTTCACTGTGATTCCTCGGGACCACTGAGAGTCAGGTGGCACAGCTATGGGAGTCCTGAAAGCCCTTCACCTTCCGGACATTCCAAGAACTGAGACAGATACATCTACTACCACACTCCCAACAACCTGGGGAAGCTGTGACTTGGAACAAATCTCCCCACCGTGACCTTGGCTGCCTCCAGTGCTCACACTAACCTGAACCATCACTCTCTTCATCATCTTTCTGGGCTGAAAAACCCCAAAGTTTGAGGATATCAATCAGGTGTCTTGCATCCCTCTGGTACCCAAACAGGCTGCAGAATGGACAATTCTGCACATCACCATTTATTTAACAAGCATTTTTACCACTTTTTATACTAGGTGGCAGGGAAGTAAAAAGCATGAGACAGCTATGTAGCCAACTTATAATAACCCAACCCATAAGTCCCTCCAGCTTTTGGGAGTTGCAGCATTCTTACATTGTTGTGGGGCCTGACACTGGCCCCTGAGGACACCTCTGTACCAGGTATTAGGAAACAAATAGCATCCTCCGTGTAGAATTGTTGGGAGCCATAGTGAATCCCAGGGGAGCTGGGGAGCTTACACTACCTTGCAGGGCCTCTGTGGCCTGATTCAGGCTCATGATAATCTAGCATTCTGGAAGCAAGACCCTTCCGGGACCCTCCCTTCTGCTGACTTCTCTTAGAACAGGGCATTTAGTCTTCACACATCAAATGTTTATTGAGCACCCACAACATGCAAAGCCTGCTGCCATGAGTTGTGGGGGATGCAGAGAGGAGAAGACATGGACACTTCTGAGGGCCTGGAGCATTGAGACACTGACACAAGTAACCAAAACAGAAGGATAGGGTACAAAGTCGGGACAGGCCCAGTCTGAACCTGCGCCGGCTGCCACTTTTGAATTGTGGATGGAGAGTAAGGCGTAGACTGACAGCTGGGCCCCTGGATCTAAGCGGAGAGTTTTCACCGTCCTTTGGGTAAACTGTCTAGTGCCCTTGGCATTTTAGATGATCAAGCAGTGTAAATTTTTAGGTCTTAATTTAGCACCACTTCTGAGAGACTTCCATTTCACCCACCGGTGAGCACTATTAGAATCTCTTATTCATCGCCATGTTTGTTTTCCTAATGAATTTTTGTTTTTCCTTATTGCCCTTTAAAGTGTTATGAGCACTTCTTAGAATCATGGCACAATCCAGATAATTTATAAAGTTAAGTCTCTTTATTTATAAGCCATGCAGGTTCCCACCAGATAGAGACAACATTTTATTTTGCTCAGGTCCTTGGCTGCACTGGAAGTCTTGTTCTATAAAAGAATTTTGTTATCTTTTCTCCAGGGAATTTGTCCCATCATCAGCTGGCATACCATTTCCAGGGATGGGAACTTTCAGAGACCACTCACCTCATCCTGAATTCAGACTGCTGAAATAGTCTCTATTTGAAATGATCGCATCATTGTGAAAAAGTCACTCACTGTCTTCCCATTTTTTTCCATGCCTTCATCCATAGATACCCTGAATTTTCACTTCTCAACTCCTTCTTTTTTTCAGGTTTGACTCTTTCCTCAAAGTGTACTTTAAGCAATGTTCTGATTGTCTCCAGTGAGAGTTTAGCATAGAGGCTCAGAGGACTGTAAGAAACTCCTCAACTACTAAGGAGTAACCCAGAGAAGATCCTCATTGACCTTGTCCGAGGCCCTTGTGGCCAGATTGACCAGTCAAGCGCAGATTATCACTCAACAATGTTTAGAGCCAACCTTGGGACTGGCATGTGTGCCTTGTCCCCACTTAGGCCTATTTGTCATCAAATAAATCATACTCACCCCTCACCTCCCACTCCCACCCCAAAAAAGAGCTGGAGGTCTTCCTGCTTTGTAGGGGCCAACAGTCATGGAAGGCTAGGTTTTTTGTAGTCTTTCTGGCACATTCTCACAGGACAGAGCTAATAAGGGGTATTTAGAACTCAGGGACTTTCTTGGGATGGGATAACTTGCCTTCAGAGGTACCTATTAAGATTCTTTCTTACAAAGAATCTGACAATTTTAACTTATTTGTGTTGAAGAGTTGTCTGTATTTAGCAATAGTTGGCTGTATTTAGCAAAAGATACCTCCTTGCCTTAGTGGCAATGATAGATGGAAGCAAAATGATTGGCTTCTGCTACTGTATTCTAGATAAGGCCTTTGAGGACCGTGTTGTAGGCAGAAATTCAGCTCTGAACCATGTACCCTTTAAAGACTATGAGTAGCCTAATAGGGTAGCATTATATTCTATGTCTGTTTTGGACACTGCCTAGGATTCCAGAGAAGATGCCTGTATTGATGGATTATGAGTACATGCATAGGTATAGGTTCACACCTCTTTTTAGATTGAAACCTTTTAAGTCTCCTCATTTCTGACCCTCCCTAGGTCACTGACTTTCTACTTCTACCTGCCACCAGTCCTGCTGCTCAATTATAAATATCTTCATATAAAAACAGTTTTTTATGCAGTTCAGAGATACAGAATTAAAGATAGAGATGAAAACCAACAAATGAAACTAAGTTGTGAGGTTTTTTTTTCTCTAAATTTGTTTTAAAATATCAAGTCATGCTGAGCAGATGTGCAAGCACCACTTCCTAGTAGAGGGAACTTGTTGGTGGGAATATCTTAACCTGTGCCAGAATCAAGGGGAGAAGCCCAGAGCCCGACCATTCTAGGGTTTGATCAGCTAAAGGTATTTTCCGGTCTCCAGTCAGGCACAGCTGCAGGTGTAGGTGGTCAGTGCGCAATGTTAAGGGGTCCTCATGGTAACTGCTCTGAGGGCTCGGTAACAGCAGGAAAGCGTCTGACCCTGACTCTGGGCCTAGAGACCTGCATACTTCTCCTGAGTATGCCGATATAGTCCAGTCTGGCTTGTTCCGATCCCTACAATCCTCTTTTGGGATACTGGAATCTAACCTGCCAGTGGCGGGGGAGGCCATCTGTCGGTAGGAGAAAGAGCTCTGGCCTGGGAATCGGAAGTGTGGGTCTGATCCTAGGTTTGGGCCTGCCGATGCGGTAGTGGGCAGAGTCTTGTGTGTTAGTATATGGGCTTACATATATATGGGTCTTAGTTCCCTCACCTATAAAATAATTTTTAAAAAATTCTTCCAAGAATCTTTCCAGCTGTTATTTTAATGAGGAGAACATAGAAGGTTGGCCTGGAACGGGCAGGCCTGAAGCCAGGTTATTTGGGGGCTGTTCTGAGGAGTATAAGGAAAGGCATGGCAGCAGTTGTCCAGACCCACCCAAGTTCTCACTGCCGTCAAGGAATCGTGGGCATAGTTCAAAGATGGAAGGATTGTGATGGTTAAAAGAGAGAAATAGAAGAATTACTTAAGTGAGTCCTCATAGAGTCAAAATTTGTCACGTTTCTTCATTTGGTTCTTTTCTGTGTGGGAACTGTAAAGTCAGCTGTGGTACTTACTGAGTGTGTCCTTTGTTGATGTAATCAAATTCTCAAACAAATGGCTTCTTGTCGCCCAGGAGTAAGAGAGCTTGTCCCTGTTGGAAATCCCTGGTGAATGAGCTGAGGAGGGGGCAGCTTGGGTGGAGTATGTGTATTTATCTGTATTCTTTTCCATAGGTACCATT